CTTTCGCATATCCAAATATTCATTCACGATATGTCCAACACGTTCCTTTGATATCTTTAGGGTCTGAGCTATCTCAATCAACTTTACTTTACGGTTACGAGAAATTATTTTGTGGACTTTTTTGATGTTTTCGTCGGTAACAGCCTCTTTGGGGCGTCCACTGCGTGCATCGTCCTCGCTGCTCATTTCGCATCGTTTAAATTTAGCAAACCACTTCTCTACAGTTGATTTTCCTGCTGCAAAGTCCGAATAATGTTTATCAAACCAAGCCTTGGCTTCAATAGTATTTTCAAAAAGTAATAGTAGTATCAAAAAGCAAAGCTGTATTAACACACGAAATTTCTTATATATCCATTTTTTCAAACTAACAAATGTTGCTTCACTCAAAATGCTATAACTCACATACTAATAGTGCAACAGCTGTCAAATTTATACAAGTGTCTTTTGAAGGTTAGGGCTAACTAAAAATCATATGGATTTAATATTAGTAGCCCCATCTATGTGTCAGCCTACGAACGTTTCAGCCTATCTGTTATATTTCACTTTAAGTAACCTCAGTGATGCAGTGACCATTCCTAGACACACATAGTTGATTGCTGATAGCAGAGCAAAACAGATTCTTAGATGAAGTTGTTAGGGATTTTAATTCAACTTTCACCTGCGAATCGTTTTTTTTTTTTTTTTTTTTTTTTTTCGAAAATGAAATGGACCCAACACAAAATACGCTCAAACATAGTGGACGCTCACCTGCAACACCCATGACGTTGTGCAAATAATCAAATTGAGATCGATTTGCAAAAGCTAAGTGAAAGAGTGGAATAAACACATATTGTTCTACTAAAATAAATATTTTTTAAAGATTTCATTTTTTATGTTTCGTTTTTTCATTTATATATTTTTTATATTTCATTTTTAACGTTATATGTGTCTTAACGATGCGTGATTAGTATCATTATTATTAATATATTATTTATGTTTTCATGTAATAATAATAGTAAACAGAATAGTAATATCTTATTATGTTTCAATTTTTCATTTCAAAAAAATGTTTGTAATGGGGCTGAATCTAATTGGGGGATATATAATTTTATATGCGGCACGCGGAGTTAGGATGCATTTCTAAAGTGGCTCGTAAGATCATTTGGATTGGCCACTCCTTATATAATTAAATTACAATATGAAAAAAAAAAAAATACCAGGAGTTACATTAAAGCATTAATTCAATACAGTTAATGAACGTCAATGTTTAACCAAAAAAGTGAAAAAAAAAATTCCGAAGGCGTCATTTGCGCTTTGTTGATAATGGCCAATAAAAATTAACAGATTTTATTTAATGAGCGAATAATTAATTATGTGTTTGTGCATTATTTTACGAAAAAGATAAAAATGGTATGATTTCAAGAACTGTAAATTTAATTTGGAAATTTATAGGTTTAAAGTTATGGTCAATAAAATTAATATATTTAGCATCTAAAATATTCATAAGAATCTTTTCACCTTTGATATTAAAGAAATCTTGGTAAAAGCATCCCGCTTTCAACTAAGAGATTTGAATAATAAAAGATAAATTTAATTAGAGATTTGAATAATAATAAGATAAAAAACATTTTCTTTTCATTTAAAATAAATTATACAAATAGTTTTTCCATTTAATCATGCGACAAATAAAAAATATCAAATTCACTTAATAAAAGAATTTATTCTTATAGTTTTTTAGGAATATAAACAAACACATGTACAGATATACAAATGCATTTCTTTATAGTGCTTAGAGAAAAAAAAGGAGTATTTTAACAATATGCTGATACCAACTATTTAATGGTACAACCTGAAATTCATGAATTATTTATCATATCTGTTACTTTTGGAAATTAATTGTTCTCAAATTGAATTATCAGTTTTCAAAAAGAGTTTTGATTTTATTTTTTTTGGGTTTGTTCACATTAAAAAAAAAGTAACACATAAAATTCACCGAAATTGGATCAGCATCAATTGTGAAAAATCGCTGTCCCATCCTTTGTTGTTGGCTTTCGGGGGGAGTATTGAAATAACCCTTCAATGCTCTGTATTCAAAAGCCATAATCCCATTAACTAAATCGATCTCTGCTGATTGGTACCTAGTTGGTACATTTCCACCATCTGCTATATAAATGGAAGTATCCCGCATACAACTATTGACGTTCTTTCTTTTATCAATAAAAAGTTAGAAGCCATGTCACAACGCGGTTTCGCTTCCTCATCGTAAGCCAGCATCTAGATTGCATGTGCAACCATTGCAATCGCAATCTAATTTCAATAAATTTGCCCTACAACAAATTTCATCGTCAGTAAATGAGGAAAAAGTGCTTGTGAACTGAAGTCCTCCCATTCTAGCACCCATTTCATTGACTTATGTAAAACGATTAGGAAGGGCACAATGGAAGACGAAGGGGAGAATGTACGACTCTTTTTTTCATTTTTATGGGATTAAAGTACAACAGAAGAAAAGCGACTGTACAAGGCCTTATTCTGGATTTTGTGCTGCGAATCGAAAATACACTTCGAAGGGAATGAGGATTTAACTGTCGTGTATCAGACATGTACATTTGATCCGAAATATTTTTGGTGCTTGCTTTTAATATTAAAAATTCACGTGGAACTGTGCATGGGCATTTTTAATAGGAAAAACGTGAGTCCTAAACCTTTAAACAAAATTGAGCCACCACTTTTCCTAAATTATTTAATTCTATCTAGATTTCAATAAAAAATTGTGTTTGCTATATGTTATTTAAATAGAATACAAAAGTGTTTTGCAAGTTTTTGAGTTTCAGATCCTATATTGAGTTTAAAATTTAATCAATTATTCGTCTCAACTTATTTGGATAGAACTTTCACTCCAATCTCCACCACATTGAATCCTCACAAATCATTTAGCTCTGCCTGTGGGTAGATGCTATGTATTAGTAGAGCACTTATGCGAGAAGGAAGATATTTCACTTAAGCGCTTTTTATATTTTAAAGAAATCTAGACTAGTTTTAAATAAAAAAATTCTTCTATTATAATAAACAATGCTTAATTTTTACCTTCAAATACATTTTAAGGTCAATTATATAAAACTCGCAATTAAATAAACTTATTGTTTGTCTTTGCAAATTGATTCCTATGCCTGAGTAGAATTTTAAGATTCCAAACATTCTTATAGAAGTTACAAAATAAAAAATCATTGTGGATAGAGTATTCCCCAGAATATTAATCAACATCTCCATAAAGAAATGTTAGTTATTATTCTTTAATTTGAAATAAAAAATAATATTGTTAAAACTTTTTTTTTTAATTTTTATGTTACTACTTTTACTATGTGAATGATTTAATTTAATTGCGGAATCCATCTATTCCATGTCTGTCTAGATTGATGTGTACCACAGTGTCGAAAAAGTAAGAAGAATTTTCAATTTAAAATTCCGAACACAAGTGCATTGCGTCCGGAGGGGATCACTTTGAAGGCATTGAAATAAATTTGGAAGAATAAATAAAGAGTTTTTTTGAAAAAAATAAATTGGTCTTACTTTTTGGCCACAGTAGTATGTCTGTCTATTTACTGATGTGAAATTGTATTTCATAATCAAAAATTAGTACAATGATAACTCGATCTTTTCTCTGTATTAATTACATTTATATATGGTGTAGAAACAAAAAAACAATAAAATAATAATTTAGTTGTTTTTTAATTAAATAAAGCTTGTGTGAGCAATAATAAAATGCTTGTAACGAAATCAATGTTTTATAAACAATGTGTATAGAAAACAACTGCGAAAAGACGTAAAGGTTGAATAATTTTCGCTAGGTAATTTTTGGATTTTACTTTCCTCACACTTTACCAAAATGAAAAATATTAAATTAGTTTTGGCACATAGCTAACACCGAATTCTATCTGCTAATATTAAGTAAAAATATGTTTCAATCTTGCGATGAAAAAAATAATGTGTAAATGATTACACAATCAACAAAAATTGGCAACAATTAGAATGTTGGAAAGAGATCCGTCCTGCTTCTGTATGTAACATAAAATCTGTTTTGAAATAAAACTCTTTTAAATGTTATACACATGGTGAGTTTAACTTTGTATTTTTCTAATTATTTCTTTAAGCAGATCATAGTAATAAAATAAAATTTCTAACCTAATATATTTCGTAGAGAAATAATTAAATTTGAACAAAAAATTTATGTTTCATGTCTAATGTCTATTTTTTGTTCAGAAGAATAATTATGCATTCGACGTGTTAGGAATCTCATATAGTTTATAAATGTTGTAGTACTTCAGCCCACTAAGTTTAACTTTTTCATTTCTCGCTCCTAGCCAAGAATGTATATATTGAAGCTTATGATTGATTTCGCAGGAATCCGATTGAAAATGTGATTGAAAAAAGGGGATATTAACTATTTTTCGCAATTTAATTCAGTTAAAATTTAATTTTAGTTAAAGTAAAATTATTTTCTCATTCATATTTTAAGCAGACTTTAATAATTCACTCAGATGCATAAATTAAAACAAAAAGAAAAAAAAAGAAATCTCTAGAATGGTTCCGTAAAATTAAATGACTTGTACATGCGCCAATATCATTAAGCTTTCTGTTCCAGAAATATATGAATATGAAAGGAAAACATTATTGTTTTTATGTAAGAACAATAAGTGGATTTTATAAATAGAAGTAAGTGCCTAAAATAATAAATCGTTATCATCATCATCACTGACGCAACAGCCCCGTTGTGAGCCAAAGCCGTCTGCCTTGCCGACAGATTTCGAGACGAGAGATGTTTTCCTTTTTTTTTTTACTGGTTAGGGTTGTCAGTCCTACGCCCAATGCTCAACAATCATGTCAGACCGGGACCTACGGCTTTAAGTGAATTCCGAACCCCTACAAACATCCATGGCACCGCCGGGTCTCGAACCCGAAATTTGTGGTACCGAGCATCAGAGCGCTAGCCACTCAGCCATTCAGGTCCCAAAATTTTGAATGCCAACGGCACGCGGTGTTCCTAGATGGTCACCCTCCCAAGTACTGACCTCGACCGATGAGGCTTGACTTCAGTGATCGAACGAGAACCGGTATATTTATTGAGCATGGTATGGCCGCGGGCAAAATTAATAAGTATATATGATAAAATGTTTATTAATAAATATGAATTAGATATTCATTTTAGAGTATGTTCATCTAGGTCAAAATGTGTGTTTTCTATTAAATACTATAAATCTCTGTTTAAAAATGTAATTTCTCCGCTTGATGTTCGCAGGTAAGGAATGAAATTAGCGTGCTGGTTGACAAACATTTGAATCAGCTGCCACCTCTTTTAAGTCTCAGCTTTCAAAAATAAAGATACCCTTGTGTGGTTGTGACAGGCCATGGTGAAGTGTCCACATCCAGAAATAATGTTTTACTAAATAATTTATTCAATTCCAAAAATAATGTTTTGCTATTTATCTTAATATTCTCCAAATTTATCAGCTCGCAGTAACATCTCCTTTCGTTCATGAATATATTTGATGGGAAGAAAGGTTTTTCTAAGCCTTTATGAAAATCATGCTGAGATTTGAAATAATGATAATAATAAACAGTTATATGTTCTTTTAGTACAAAAATAAATGGAATGAAAAAAATCAAACTTAAATAAGAATAATTACCTATTTTAAAATATCTGTTGAAAGGTAGAAATAAAAGGGTACTGTGAAATATAAATAATAAAGGAAAAACTTTTACCAAAATCCCAAACGCACAAATTATAACAAAAGAAGCAGGTAAATACACTCATGTCCATAAATTAAGGATTTGAAGTTCAGGCAAAGAAAGAGACAGAAGCAAAACAAATTTGACTTATTTGTAAAGTCTATTTATTAAACAAAAGGAAAAGAGTAAAAAAGATGCTATATGTTTGACATTGGCAGTTAATAAAAATTGCGATTTTTACTCCCTGGAGCAAATTTCAAAAAAGAACCTATTTACAAAAAACAGTATAACATGGTTAGTACGATGGTTAATATGGAGTATGTCTCCTGGACGATGCAATAGAGGCCTTACAACGCCTAGGCATGCTGAGTATCAAATGATCAATCTTATCTTGGGGACTATTACACCACTCATTAAGCAATGCCCTCCGAGGTTCCGGTTGACAGGTGGGAGGGGGTTGACGGGCTGCAATTCGTCGGCCAAGCATATCCCACACATGCTCTATTGGATTCAAGTCCGGTGAGTATGCTGGCCAATCCATACCGGTGATATCCTCCAATTGAAGGCATTCGTCTGCAATGTTTGCACGGTGAGGTCGGGCGTTGTCATCCATAAACAGAAATTCAGCACCCATGGCGCCCCGAAACAAACGTATATGTTGTTCCAGAATGACATCCCGATAGATGTGGCCTGTCATCATAACACTCTGAACACTCAGGTCCGTTCTGGAACCAAGAATAATTCCTCCCCAAACGAGCCATCCTGCACCACTGTAACGGTGTCGTTCAATGGTGTTCTCTTGGTGGTAACGGGTACCTGGCCCTCTCCATATGAAAGTCCGGCGAGAATCAGACTGCAAACTAAACCTGGACTCGTCGGAAAACATCACACCAGACCACTGTTGCGGTGTCCACAATGCATGCTCTCTATTCCAGGTTAATAGCAGGCGACAGTGAGTTACGGTAAGTGGAACACATCTGACAGGCCTACGAGCATATAGATCAATGGGCCCTAAGCGTCTGTACACGGTCTGCCTTGAAACTGTCGTACCGGTAGCTGAAGAGAGCTGACGAGACAGGTCTGATGCTGTGCTCCGCCTGTTTCTTTTGGCAGTAACTGCTAAATACTGGTCCTCATTCGGTGATGTAACTCGGGGGCGACCTGTGCTGTAACATCTACTCACATTACCATCATCTTGGAACCGTTGCCAAAGCCTGGAGAGGACACTCTGGGCGATTCGAAGTTCCTCGGATACTTCCAGCTGGGTACGTCCACAGTCCAGTCGTCCGATAATTCTACCACGTAAAAAATCATCCAAATGCTTCCTTTGTGCATTACTATGCGGTTATTGCACTGAAAGGCTTTTAAAGCGCTTGTGAACAATTTTACTTCTTTGCCACCATTCCTTATATATCCCTCTCTTACACTCTCGTCATTGTGACGTACTATCCGCGCCATCTGGTGGTTTCCTGTAATTTGCATATTCTTCTTCAACATGTGTGTGATAATTCTACAGGTTAAATTTTTATTTTAGAGTTCAATTTCTGTGTGATTCTGAATTATCCTTAATTTATGGACATGAGTGTAAATATCAAAGCGTACGTCGAGAGCTGATGGAAATTTGGAATATTCTACTACGAGAAGAATATATTTTTTTTTAAAGAAGGACAAATGGAAATGATGATGATGTTTAAATAATCACTCTGTTTGAAAGATGACTATAAAATTATGAAAGCTTATTTGTTCCCAAAATCAAGAAATTGTGAATGCACACTTTGCTTTAAAATAAGCTCTTTCTGCTGTAAATTGAGCCATTATTTCCAATGACTAATTTCCCTCACACCTTGGTGACAAAATACATTTATAATTAATGCTGTTTATCAAGAAAACTTTTGCTAATTATTTAATAAAATAATTTACTTACTAAAAAATAACTTAAAATAATTTAAAAAAATTATAAATAATAAAACGGTTTAAAATAAATTAATGAAATGGTTTAAAATAATTTAATTAAATGGTATGAAATAATTTAATAAAATAGTTTAAAATAATGATTTGAAATAATTTAATAAAATGGTTTAAAATAATGTTTTGAAATAATCTAATAAACTGGTTTCAAACAATGATTTAAAATAATTTAATAAAATGGTTTAAAATAATGGTTCCAAATAGTTTAATAAAATGATTTAAAATAATGGTTCAAAATAATTTAATAAAATGATTTAAAATAATGGTTAAAAATAATTTAATAAAATGGTTTAAAATAATGGTTTGAAATAATTTAATAAAATAATTTTAAAATAATGGTTCGAAATTATTTAATAAAATGGTTTAAAATAATTTAATAAAACTGTTTAAAATAATTTAATAAAATGGTTTAAAATAATTTACTCTAATAATTTAATTAATTCTACTAATAATTTAATTAATACGCCATTCAGAGAAGAACTGTAGGTTTTTTTTCTTTCTTCTCGTACTTTGTTGGGACTCTTGGTTCAATAATATACCCATAAACTGTTCCCCGACGAACGATGAATGAAATAGAATTGCTTCTAGGAGAGCCTGTAGGGGTAATTGTAATATGTAAATATTTTTATTTAATTATTTCGATATTCGCTCTTAACTTAGATTTGTTGCATTATTTTACAAAAAATTCTTTTTCATACTATGAAACTTTTATATATAAAAGAAAAATATATACTTAAAAAAATAATATTGTTTTATGAAACACAGTTCTTTAAAAGAAATGTCAAAATTATTAATTAGAATACGGCAATTTGGAATATTCTACTACGAGAATAATATATATATATAATACATATCAAAATACAAAAAAAAAATACATAAAATATATATAAAAAGTTAATATATACATAAATAAATGTATACATAAAATATATATATATAAAATATATATATATAAAGTTTGATTTATCACCAACATAAATTTCTACAATCAGGTAATAAATTGTAAAATCACAATTCAATGCCAAATAAATGAAATTTTCATGAATTATAAAAATTCAAATAACTAAAATTAAATAGCTAAAAATATGTTCAATCCATCATTTAAAAAGATCTATGTGATACAAGATTTTTACAGGTGTATTAAAACCCGAAGGATATTCAACTTAAAATATGAAAGTAAAATGTAAGTGCAGTGGAACTAATGGAACAACCTAGCTGAATTAAAAAAATGTAAAGCTGAATTCATAAAACTACCGGTAAAGCTGAATTTATTTTCTGTTATATGCCAACCCTTCTAAGTGCAAATGGCCTCAGGTCGAAGTTTCACCACATATAAGCAACAACATTGTGCATCTCTGAAAAGCTTACATTAGTAAATATCCCCCCGATACACAAACCCTGAAGGTAAATCTATACATTCTACACATAATGTATATATATATATATATATATTTTATTTTTAAACAAAAAATGGTTCGGTTTGTTTCAATTCTAAGCTTTTACCTTAATAAAAAAAATAATACAATTCTTTTACAATGATACAAAAAATATCATTTGAATTATTATAATAATTATTTTTTTCCAATGGAAAGAGAAAATAACAAACCCTTTCGAGATAAAAAAAAATAAGTGTAAAGCGCACACGAAAAAAAAAAAAAAAAGCAATGAGAGAAAAAAACTCATAAGCAAAGTTCCAATATCTTTTCACTTCGGAGTCCCCAAGTAAGGTCGGGCATCCTGCTATATGATGTTGTACATGACCTCGTCTCTAACAGAGAGCGGGCAATTTGGGCTATTAAAAATGCCAATGCGTTGCAGATGGCCTTCCAAGCAATCATGGCTCAATGCAAGTCTAAATTTCGCGACAGTTTCTCCGCGAGGTTTGTCCGAAACATCATGTTCCAAAATGTTCCTCCGACTCCTCGAGGAGACACGAGCTGTGAGCAATGCACTTCATCTAAGTCCAACTTGATTTTTGATGCAAAATCTCACGGGACGAAAGCAGCTGCAAGCATTTGGATGTTTGATTATTCTCGTAGGATTCTTAGCCAGCAAATTTGCCTTGTCCTTACCTGAAATATCAAAGTGTCCAGGGATCCACTAGAGGACGATGTGTGGCCCCTCTAACTTTATGGTCTCCTGTTCCCCGACAGGAACACAAAGAGGAAAAAAAATGGAAAACACACTTCTGCTCGAATGTTAAGCTAAGGCATCATCTGTATAAATATGTAAGCATTCAGGTTCACGGCAGAGAGCATGGATGGTCTCAAGGTTCAGGATCCACAAACTCTAAGGTGGCAAATGACTCTCAAGGGCCAGACGAGCAAGATTCAGATCAATAATCCTCACGACGGGGCTTTATTTATTATTTTTTTTGTATTGGAATAGCCTGGTGGTTAAAACGTTCAAATTTCAGATCTTATGAAGCTGCGTTCATAACCCGA